CATTCTGACATTAGATAAAACAATGCTTTAATAAACATAAAACATTTAATATTAATATTAAAAATAGTTGCGCGTGTGCTTATATTTATTATGGCAATATTTTATAAATCAGCTTATTACGTGTCGTTCAATTTAGATTAATAATAGCGACGAAAATAATAAGGCGTAAAAAGAAAAAAAAGTGAGCAAAAGAAAAAAAAAATTGTCCATACTTATCAAAACCTCGTAAACAGCCTCTTAATCTCGGATTGGTCTCAATATCTCGTCCAAGGTGCCATAATGTCACGAATCTGTTAAATGCATCGATTTTCTTTTCCATACTCTCGTTCATCAGTGCCAAACCAATTGCATCCTCCACTGCGTCACAAGAATCATCCAGTGCATGATGTAATTCGTGCAAAAGCTCGACACATCGTATTCGAAACTTATGTACAGGTAGTTCACCAAGATGATTCCATAATCTATGTGCCAGCATCTGCAATTACAAAATCACCACGATTTTTTTAATCACTTTCTTTAAGTTAACATTTTGGTAAAATCAATCTTACGTAACAATATCGTTACGTAAAATTAATTATTGCGCGAACTTTATCAAATAATCGGATGTAATATTATTATAGACATTTTTTTTAAATCACTTCGAAGAAAAAACGGTTATCATTATCATTTACAGAAAAATATTTTGATACATACCGTGTAGAAGAGTACCGCCTATCAATTTTAAGCTTTTTTTTTTTTTTTTTTTTTTTTTCGTTAATTTTAATCAATTTCTTAAGTAAAAGTTTCATTCCATTATTAAGATAAGTTCGTTCAAAACACTAAATATATAAATATATATTTGTAGTCAGTGTATTAAATTTATGTTGTACATTCGTAATGTATTAATGCAAGTAGTAATAATACCATTAAATTGAAAAAAATAAAATAAAATAGTCGAATACATTTGTCATTTTTAAAAATTATATACGCATATGAACATTCGCGAAAATCGTAAAAATTTTGAAGGTTATTAAAAAAATATATATATATATATAAAACAGATCAAATAAAAATTGCCCGCTATTTAAAATACTCTCATTATTATTCTTCAATGTAATGGTAATTTTTAAAGAACGAAGCACTGTTTTTTTTATTTTTATTTATTTATTTTTTTATTTGCCAAGCGTCGCCTGACATAAAGTTGGGCAAAAAAATATTGCGGACGTACTTGAAAGACGTCGGTGTAATTTTTGAGATACGTTATGTGCCACTGCTTGAGCAGGGGCACAATGACGACAGTTGTGACACCTTCTCCATGAGTCTGTCTAGCAGAATCGCTGTGCGCCTTCGACAATGCAATAAGATCCAGAAGTGTGGCAATGCTCGTGAGTTGCAGGGATGGCTGCACATTTAGCCAACAGCTGCAAACGATCAAGACCTTCAACCATTTCGGCAGATTGGCGTTATCCCGTGGCTCTTCCTCCTCCAATAAGCCGTCACCCGGTAAGAAATACGTCGGGAAGGTGGACAACTCGACGAGTAAACTCGATGCTACTCTCAATACCTCTTCCCAATACGATGAATCTATCGATTCCACGTAGGGATACACAAGATATCCTTGAATAGAGAGAGAGAGAGAGAGAAAGAAGAATCTTTGCTTTTAACATTATTTATTACATTGAGTAATTATAGTTAAAAAAAAAAATACATGAAATTTTAAATATTTATTTCCATAAATTTAAAAATACTTGATTATCCGGTATAATGAACTTTATTATTTGTTTTTTTTTCTTGCAATTATTAAAAAATATTAAAAAAAAATAAATAAATACGTAGACATAAATATAAATGTTGTATATACTATCTATATCGTGTATTATTTAGAAAATAATCTTGAAAACTTTATGAATCGTTAAAATTTTAAGATTATAAAGGCTGATTTTCACAAATGACAGTTTGATAAAAGAACATAAAATAGTATTACCTTTTTTGCAATTTTCGCACAGTCTTATCTTTTTCACTTATCGGTATACTTATTTACCAATTGCGATTAACTTTGGCTTTAAAAATGATTAAAAGAACTTTTAGAAATACTTTATATACTATTGTAATCTACTCGCGCGATAAAAAAAAATCAATATAGATTGAGTTGATATAAAATAATTTATAAGATTCTTAGTCAATGGGGATTTCGTACATCTGTCGATCGTATCTAATATATATTATCAAAGTCTAGTCGAGATCGTTGATACATTTATTTTCATGATATGACACATTAACTTTTCGCATTGAATTTGTTTAATAAACTGCTGAGTACTTAATCAGTTATGTCATATAAAGTGGAGCTTTTATGTATTTAATGTAAAATACGTAAGTTCGAGGATTAAAGAGGGATGACTAGTAACATTACTAAATTCTATTTTTAAAATGTTATGTATAGACAAACAAGATATTGTTGTTAAGATGTTAAGATGTTTATTGTTAAAAATTAAAAGTGAATCATTGATAATCTATTCTTATTGTTATTATCTATTAAATCATTATGGAAATTAAGGAAAGCTCATATCTCATAAATATACACATCCAATATGAATATTATTCTACATTTAATCAAATGGTATAATTATGAACTTATGAAGTTGATTTATGTGCATTTTGTTTTCTATATGCTGGTAGCATGTGCGTAATGTTGGAATAAAAATTGATAATTGAAAAATATCATGTTCAATAAAATCAAAAATTTTTCTTAATCAAAATGTATCTGATCAATATTTCTCACGATTAGTATATACAACATATTCTAAAAAAAAAAAAAAAAGACATGCGTCTTAACTATTACTTAAACTCATTACTTAAACTGATCACAAATTAATCACAAAGAAAACCAGCCCATAAATTCAAATAAATATGGAATATTTAAAAAATTCAATGTAAACTATTATTACGTAGGGTCGAGGTAGACGATTATAACTTACCCTTTGGTTCAATTTCCGACGGAGATGGTGAATTTTGATTATATACTTTCAAATCCTCAGGGTCAAGCTTTGATTTCAACAATTTCTCCAGATGCCTCGTACGCTCGTCAAAGCTTTCCTTACACGAAGGCATTCTCAAGCAACCAAAATGATACTCATAATCACTTAGTCTTGGCACAGACATGTTATCTTCAAGAACGCGACGGATAATGAATTTAACATAAAATTTCTCGTACAAACGCAGGCATTTTTCCAACATAGAGTGCTGGATCTGCTGAGCCGGGGATGGGCCTCGACTCACCGAATTAAGGGAACACATCGATGATGCATCCCTCGCACCGAAGGTAGTCTTTCCGTCCGCGCTTAAACCTAGACTGGCGGTATCAATCTGATAATCACTGCTGTTTAAGTCCTCCAAACTCTTGTTACGGCTCATGGAGCTTGGGGACTTTGCGTCTTCGCTAACGATAACGGAAATGCTGCTTACGTCCACCTGAATTGAATAGGCATCCGATAGTTTAGACGTGCTCTTGCTTGATTTTTTCTTCGTCTTTTTGTCGTTCTTCTTAGGAGCACCGCTCGAATTGGCACGCCTTCTTGGGCTAAGAAACCAAATACATAATGGTTTGTTTCAAAATATTTAAAGGCTATCGATAATTAAGCGGATAAATAGGTTGAAAATTTACCTAGGGCTACGATCCGATAAATTATGGGTCAATTCGACAGCGGTGGGTTTATTTAATTTACTGTCCGACTGACTCTTTTCCAAGGGAATTGCAGCCAAACCACTTTCGATGGGTAATGCGGTCCCATTTGAATCTAATTTCATCTCGCCGCTTTCTGACTTTTCAACCGTTGAATTTGCTGAGACGGCTGGTTGTACTTTCGACAGAATTTTTCCACATAGCTTCAAACTCATGGTTATTTCCATGGGTAGTAAAAAATTTATGCAATTTGAGAGTTTATCGATGATGCTGTGAAAGAGGCTGAATTCACGAAAAGAAACAGAAAATAATTCTTTTTAAAACACTTACGATCAATCCCACGTATATGCTGAATTTATTCATTTGAGAAAATGGAAAATGTATATAAAATTCAAGAAGAATATAATTAATATATACAAAATAAGTATAAAAATCTCATTTTCAATATAACCTCATTATATATTGCATATTAAGCATATCATTTTGTTTATTTAAATGTAATTTAAAATCATTATATATATATATATATAAGAAAAAAGTTATTTTTATTAAAATAAAAAGTAATATATTTTAATCCTCGATAATTAATATTGTTTTGAAAGCCGTTGATTAACAAATTAAATAAAATAAAAAATGTTTTTTATTATATTCACATATTTTTAATAATTATTAATTATAAAAATTATTTTAAATTTTTCGTAATGCATAATTTGAAAATTAAATACATAAATTTAAAATAATTTATGTATATTTTGTTTATTGAAGAAAAATTTATTATAAAAGCTAAAGCTTATATTAAAGTATGTCCATAAATTTTAATCTACATTACTTATCAATGGCTTATAACTTTTTAGAATAAAATTATTAATAATGCATTTTTACATTTATAAAATGAATAATTATTGTGAATATAAATAGATTTTGAGATTACGTTTATAGATTTATATTTAATGCATGGAGGGACAGATACTTATAATCTCGATAAAAACTTATTTCATATTAATTAATTTAATAGAATTTACAATTTATAATTATTTAGAATTACATTTGTGCTTGCTATCTATAATGTTTATATTATCTACAATCTTCATTAAGATCGTAATTAAGATTAATGATACCGTTTACTGATTTATTTTATTTATGTTATAATTTAGTTTATAATTTCAAATTAATGTGGCAAATGAAATGCTCTGGCAATGAAAGTTACGTTATTAAATGAAGAAAGTCAATGGCTTGCCTCGGTAAATGCTCGGATGGTGTATCTATAAATGCATCGAGAGAGACAGTCTCGAGTAAAAACTCGGTTAGCATGCAGATTTCCACCAGCGATGGCAAGCCACTACCGACTTCTTTGACCATCGGTTTTTGCTTTTCCTGCCATTGGCATAATCCTCTATTGCTGTTAATTTTTTCACAAGCTTTCTCAAATAAATAGCCGCAGTGTATCCATACATATTGTGGCTCCAAAGTCGAAAATAACAGATTCACAGATTTTATCACTTCGCTTGATTTAGAATGTTTACTCGTTATGGAACAGGCGTTATAAAATGTTCTAAAAATATATTAAATTAAAACTGTTGCGTAATAATCGTCCAACGATTATTTCATTAATTTAATTATTGTCAATGCAATCCTATTATTCATATGGCATGTTATTCTATGTAGCTACAAAAATATATCTATACCGAATTACCAATGTCTTATTACATTATTTTACAGAATGCATGTAAATAGGAGATAATTTTACGAGACAATAGTGTGATGTAATACGAAATGAGAGTTAAAAATGGAAACTATAGAAAAAATATTGAATGCAAAATAATATATTAAAAGTGTGTAAATGTAATCATGTATTGATATTATTTTTATAGCTCTTATTATAGATAAAAAAAATATTTATTGGTCTTTCAATAAGCAGCGATAAATATGCTCTAATATTAATTTTTTGCTCACCTATAAACTTCGTATAGAATATCATCGAGAATAACAGGACCTATATCGGGCTTATCCAATAAGGAAATCAAAATTCTATAAGGTTTTAAATCCTGGGGATTATCGTTACAAATGGTTTTTAAAGTCGACTTAATTGCATCTATTAGCATGTCCTTGGAGTAAACGTCGAAATACGCAGTTGAAGTTTCATTTGTGCCACGGTCTTCCTTTTTCTTTAAAATTGACGTATTCACTTCAGTACCCAACAACCATGCAAACAGTCGTCTACAAAAAAGAGATATCAAACAAATTTCATAAAATTCGATCGATCGACCACCCTTATTTTTTTAGCATAAATACAGAAATCGGTCTTGTGTACCTATTTAAGCTCATGTCACGTCGCAATATTGTAGTTAAAGCAGCGGTAAGTATATTAACCATATCTTTCCTCGACAATTGACTATTATGCACAGGAAAACCAACAAGCAATAAATCTAAAGCACTTCTCTGAACTAATACAGAACTATCTTGAACCCCAGCACATAACGCGGAGACCTGTTCTCAAGATATTTTTCTTTTAATATTTAAACTTTATTGTTTATTGTAAGCAAGTGTGATAGTATATAATGAAATTGTCGATGACATAGAGTGATTTAATTAAGTTTAAATAAACATTTAACAATTATGAAATTTATATTTAACAAAAAAATATAATATAACTATTTAAATCGACGTAACTGTCCATCAAGTAAATAAACATTTTTTCCATTAAATGAACTATAAATGAAATGGAAAGGAAAATAAGATAGATAATTACTAAAGATACTGTGAATACGTAGATAAGTGTATGAATCATTATTAATCGTATTCTTATACTATTGGTTTTATCTAAGATAACATTGTAAAAGAATATTGAAATTGACCTTAAAATCATTAAATTAAATTAATTATTATTCAAACTCATCGGCCACTTTCATGCAAATTCAGTCTTATATTTTAATTTTGTATAGTGATAAGAGAATATCTAAATGCTGCTTCATAAGCCTATCGATACAAAGAAAGAACAAACACTGTGAATTTCATTTTCTAATCTAATTATTAGCAAATATCTTACCATAATATCGACATTAGTCCCCATTATATAAAGTTGGTCTTCCATTGGTAGCTTTTTATGAAAATGTGTTAATGCAAATGAAATTGCTGGCAACCTTATTCCAGAATTAGAAGCTAGACAGTCCCATAAACATGCATAAAAGTGTTCAGGACCTACACCGTCGCAAACTTTTTCTAACAATGAATTAGTCCTGTCAAAATGATCGGAACCTTCTTCTAATCCTGGAAGAACACCACTGAGAAAACCACTCAATCCTGGTCTTAATCGTTCTCCAAGTGGAACAAAATGTGTTTCATAAACAGTCAAAAGTAATGGTCGTACATTCATTGCGGCATTACCCAATAATGGAAAAAGACCTTTAAAAATATTTTAAATTACAGTAATAAATTTAATTAGAAACTTTTAATTTAATAGATTAACAAGATATAAATTTAATTAAAGTGACAAGAGTTCCCATAAGCGCTACACAGCATAGCTTTAATGTACTTTACTTTATGATAAATAACAACATAAGCACAAAATAACGAGCATGGCTGAACGCCGTTGCCCTCATTGTTTTATAATTGTAATACTACAAACCAAATATCAAATATTTCAATTCAATGTTGTATAATAAACGCATTAAAATCTCTTTACCTTTGCATTATAAAATTATATCCTTTAGTCGATTAAATTAATTTAATTGTAAACAATTTAGCCATCCCATAGTGTAAGACAACATACCTGCGCTGTAAATAAAAAGTTCATGACTCAATCTATTTGTGCCCATACACTTAAATATAATATCATAAGTTTCTAGAGCTTTCAAATGAACTCCAGGTGGTAAAGCTGGATGCATACATTGTGCAAGTCTTTTAGAAATTTTAATTCTTCTTGGGATTACTGGAAATTTCATATGACTCAATAGTACTTTATTAAGCTTTCCCAATGCAGATATCAAATCTGCCCACTCGCTGGTATACTCAAAATTTTTGAGTGCTTTGTCCACAGCTGATACATAGCTGTAATTTAATATTTGATTTAAAAAAAAAAAAAAAAATCCATAAACTACGTGTATTTACAAATGTAATAATTTCGAAATATATAGTCTTCGAGAAAAAGAATTAACAGAAAAGACTTATATATCATATATGATCTAAGCTTAATAAGTAATCTCTATTAGTCCAGTCTTTTAGAAAATATAAATAACTTTATCATAAGATTATTGTTTGATAATGTAATACTTTTATAACATTTAAATATAATTAATACTTAATTGATCTAAAATGAAACTTTGTATTATTGCACACGATAGTGTAATTTACATATATTTTAGAAATACTTTAATAAAAACATAAAATATATTAATAATTTCCACAATTCTATGTCTGATAATTCTCAGGATAAGGTAAAATATTTTTTAAAAAGTAAACAAATCATAATAGACGTATCGCCTGTAATTAATTATTTTAAATAAATGTACTTGGATGATTGCGCGTGGGCTGCATGCGATGCATCTGCGAATATAAATTACATTGTAACACTTACACTCGATATTTTGAGTCTTTCATCAGCTCATACTCCTCCAAAGCTATGGAACCCATTTTGGCAGTTCTCCCTTTCCAACTTGTTTAAATAAAAACAGAAGCGATGATCACTCACGAGAGCTGAGATTAATTGGTACTACCATCCTTGCGTACCAACAATCTTCATTCAATGATGAAACAGCTAACATTAAGAATTTATAAACCAGCATATCCCACCTTACACTATAAAATGTTTAAAGAGTCAACTGGAGAAACTATGTGATACAAGCACTCACAACAATAGCAGAGGAGAACAATGTATATGCTCGTCGTTATATTAGACAGCCTGAAATATTGCCTTGCTGGCAACAACAGTCAATGTCAAAGTCAGAGAATAAACGTAGTACACTCGGTAACCGTAAAATAAAATCAGCAACGAGCCTATATAGGACACACACGCACACTTCAATGCAATTATCGCTTGAAAATAATGAAGCTATTTACTCAGCGATGTTGACATTTGTTATACTACGCAATCGTCTGTGCTCTCTTTTTCTTTTCTCTCTAGCGGCACGAAAATTAAGAAACGAAAGATACAGCAATAATGATGGCATAACAGACGGTCCAAGTGAAACCAGCAGACGCGTTTCCCGCACCTACGTTCGTCCGCGAAAAGCGAGAAATTTTCTGCAGTACAATGAACGCGCGCACTACATTTGCAGCAACTGTTCGTCGACTGGCTCTTCAGTCCTCTTTCGTAGACATTTTTACACTCTCCGTCCTTTTCTACTCGGCTCGCACTACTCAGTATTTGCAGTGTATGCGTAAAACGTTATATATGTATCCATATAGCATCCAATAATACCTTCAGTGCTGCCTATCTTTGGGGGGGGGGGGGAAAAACAAAAAAAAAACAAAAATACAACAAAAAAAAAACAAAAAAACAAAAAAAAAAACCACATTTAAAACATTATTCGAAAAGATGATGAAAGGATAATCGATCAGATGAAACGAAACATTTGAAAATAACATATCAGTTCGTACTACATTGAAAAGTGGTATGGTACTGCGGTTATGTTAAGCTCGTGAAATATAAGGTAGGCAGGGCGAACGTACGGGTTGGTAGAACTGCTGGCTCAACTTTTTTTTTTTGTTGACACTTTACGCTCACAGAAAATAGAGGTAGAACAGCTGTAATTGCAGATAATTAAAAGACTTAAGTGACTTAATAGATTAGTCTTATTAGATTCGAGAATTAGATTCGGAATTTACGGATTTACAATTAAAATAGTGAATTAATCGTGCGTCATTTCGGATCGGTGTTTAATTTTATAAATAGTGCCAGCATTAATTTCATTGAATTAACATTGCTAATCTCAAGTGAATTAAATATCAAATATATATATGAATATAATATTACAGGCATATAAGTAAAAGCGGATTTAATGATTTTTTGCATGCAGAAAATCTAGATATATTATCGTACTATTTCCATAAATAGATGGATACTCGGCGATACCCGAAAAGAACAAGGAGAGTGCTTTAATGTACATTATGACGTAAACGTAAACGTCGCTCTCTCTCTTTTTTTTCATTTTATTATTTTTTTTTCACGCATTTGCCGTCGACAAGTGTATGAATTTTCATTTATTAATTTTAATACAAAATATTTCAAATTAAATCCAATGAATCTCAATTATGAACGTACGCACGAGCGTTAATTAAATTAGTAATTGTTTATTATTATTATTGGTAACATTTAAAGCCACCAGTCGAACGGTTAGTTCGAAGAATTTGGCGCTGCAGTCGTTACACAAATTTACATACGCATCGTATTATTTGGCGGGCACGTATTTGCGTCTTTTATTCCGAAATTGCAGAAAGAATAGCGATTCGCTATTCGAATACCTACGACGAGTAAGAGCAGCAAACGTAGAGCCCGGCAGCAAAAACGAGAAAGAAGCTATCGCAAAAGTAAGAGTGAGTGAGAGAGAAGTAAGTTTATTCAGTATGGCATGCGTCGTAGAAGCAGCTGCTTCTGTTTTCGCGAACGATCAGCGATCGCATCTACGACAACGACGTTAAAACGAGTTTACGAATTACTTCTGTGCACGATATAAGCTGCAAAAGCAAGCAAGAGAAAAGAGAAGAAAGACGAAGAGAAACTTTGCCGAGGTTATAACTTGGAGACTTATAGAATCGTTCGCCTCACGACTCATACTCACGACTACGACGCATTCTCTTTCTTTGTCTTTTGACCGACTGCGCCAATCGCCAATACGACGAATCTCTCAGCACAAAGGGACAGAACGCACGCACGGCTTCGTGCGCGGGTGACGAATAATCGCTGTAGAGAAGGTGTTAGCCGGCGCGACGATAACTTTAGGAAAAGAAGAAACATGACGGCCGATCTGTCGGAGCTACGTATGAACGTAGCTGCGCTCAAGCGGGTTGATCCCTATGTCAAGGACATCCTGGAAACAGCAACTCACGTTGCACTTTATACTTTCAATAGTGAAAATAACGAGTGGGAGAAGACTGATATCGAGGGTGCCCTCTTCGTGTATTCGCGCATTGGTGAACCCTACAACAGCATTCTTATTATGAATAGGTAATCGCTAAGTCATTTTTTATTTAATGATAAAATAGCTGCCCGTGCATCATGGATGATGATGATGATGATGATGATCGACCGATTTTCGAAATTCTTGTTTTTGTTTTTTTTCTTTCCTTTTTTCTTTTCAATACATATGGTAACTAATTTAATGAAATTCATTAAATAAGACAGATATTGATTTCTCCTACTCTTCAACGATTTCATTTTAACTGGCAAATGTTATTGTTAAAATTTATTTACACAATCATATTTTGCATTCTTGATTACAGAGCAAGTTTTTAGCTCATCGCACAATAATATTGTTTAAAAAATTTTAAATTAATTTTTTTTTAAATTTTTCTGTTCAAAATATTATTGCAATACGTCATAAGTATTATGATATTTTTTAAGGGAGTTTAATCAAATAAGGGCTTTTATTTGAATTATAAAATATTCTGTAGGTTTATGTTTATATATGTACATATATATATATATATATATATATATATATATAGGTGCGCGCGCGTTTATTTCTGTGTGTGCACGCATACACGTGTACAAATTTTTTATTGAATAGAAGCTTTAATTAATAGAATTTTGAGTAGAGAAATATACCTGTCTCGTTAATATTTTCGTTTATGAATAAAAATAATTTATTTCAGACTAAATACAAACAATCAAGTAGAGCCAGTAACTCCAGGCTTAGATTTACAATTACAGGAACCATTTTTATTGTACAAAAATTCAAAGGGTAATATTTATGGTATCTGGTTTTACGATAAAGATGAATGTATACGAATTTCATCGATGCTAAACAAACTTGCCAAGGAATCAGTTTCTACTAATAAAGTAACGCCAAAGAATAAAAAGACTGTGCAGAGAAAATCCAACAATGTTGATATATTCAGCATGCTGAGTAAAGCCCAAGAAGATTTTAATACTAATATAAGTAATAATACAGAAAGAGGTGTTAGGGGATTAGATTCTAAATCTCCAATGAGCAATGCAATCGGAGAGCTTTCCGGAGCTTTATCAGCCATGGTAATGGCCCCAGATGTTACATCTAAAAGTGTTATGGACTTTTTTGCAAAAGCCAAAGTTAATACCGGGCATTTCAAAGCTGGCGATCAACCTCAGGCAGGTACTGCTGTAAATGAGGGTAAGCCTCTATTGGCCCGTTTGATGTCTCATCCAGCAGCGCACACTGTAGAGCATATTGAAAAACAACAGAGATCCATTACACCTCAACCATCGGTACCGACTCAATCACAAGGTGGAATGATTTCTATGAATAATCAAAGGTAGACGATCAATATTTTATAAGGTTTTAATTCATAATAATTAATTTTTAATGGTTTTTAAATGTTTACGCTCTTCACTGAATGTTCTATTATTGAAGTATTAATAATTATCTTATAAATTACAATTTTCACACTTATTTAAAGTAAAATAATGGATATTATTTTGCAGTTGTGAAAATTCAATAATAACGAAACTCAGAAACAAAATGCCTACTCAATCGAATACAAATGCACCTACAGTATCCAGAATGATTAATCAAGAATATCCATCAGCGCTCAACTCATCTGCATGCAATGTTATCGTATGTCCAGAACATTCTGTAATGAATTCAGACGATACGAATAGTTCCTCGAGCTTCCTTAGGATACAGTCGCCCACAGCCAGAAATTCAAACAACCTTATAAATCAGCATAAAAGTAACGCCAATGTATCAAATTTTGTTGATGCATATGAAACACTTCATAAGCAGAATAATTCTGCATCCAGTAATCCAGTTTCGTTTGACTCTTTGTTTCAACACAGTTCAACGGTAAAATTTTATTTTCATCAATTAGTATTGATACATTCACTAAAAGGTTGTAGAATATTGAATAATTTTGCATATACTTCTTTGCAATATTGACTGATTTTATTGTGTTTATATTAACATTATTGAATTTTTATACAAACTGATTAATGAAAATTTTCAATTATTTTGCATGAATATGCATAAAAAATTATATAGTTTTTATAATAAAAATCTGATCAATAATTGAACTTATAATTTTAATACAATGAAATTGAATAAATATAAATTTTATAATATAAAAATTATTATTTATAACATAAATTATCAATATGTATTTTGAAGATAATAAGAAAAAAACAAATTCTTAATATGCAATAAATAGATATAAAAATTCATTAAACAATACAGTTTACAATGAATCATGTTTATAAGCTTGAAGTGATAAAATTTATAACTGCAAATACATTGTGTTAATGAAAATAATCTTGCTTGTCGTAATTGATAGCATATAAATTATATTATCTTAAAAATTATACGCGAACATAAAATTGCTAGAATTTTATGCTCAACATTTGTGTAAAAATTGACAAAAATCGTGTAAAATTGTTTCAGATAATTTCAATAGATATATTATTAAAATTTTCATTTACATTAAAAATAAATCTTTTATAATATATTGGTTAAAGATATTCAAAAACTGTTATAAGCGTGTCAATGTTCAATTTTTCGAATTCACTATAATTAAATGAATGTCTATCATAAGAATTTATTTCTATTTTATTTTTTCAAGTTTATATATTTATATATAAATATAATATATTAATTGTATATTAAAATTCAATAACTGCATTGACTTACGCAAACGTAAGGTTAATTTGTATAATTTCATATTAAAAAAGGTAAGTAATGTGTGGATTCAATATTGATAATAAATAAATATTATACAAATGGCCAAAAAAATAAAATAAAAATAATACTGCATATTAAAATATACTTTCTTATCAATAGGGATAATTTACAATTGTGGCATTCTTATCATAAATTTTCTCGTTCTTTTTGAACAAAAATGAAAAAGCGCCTGTTAATATTTTTTAGTCGAACGTATGCGATGACCTTATAGCGCCGTCGCTTACATCAAAAACGTCAGCTTTGTCGTCGAGTGGAGGGTCGGCGCCGGCACTCATCCCTCCGGGCATGTTTGCAGCCCCGAGTCCAGCCACCAACACCACGGAGCCACTCTACCGACCTGTCGAGCCTCTTACGAGGAATCAGCTGCTCCAAGCATTCGGCTATTTATTGCGCACCGATCCGGATTTCGTTAACAAGCTACACGAGGCTTACGTCAAATCATTCAGCGAAATCCTTTCCTAGGCATGGTACCGCGCCGACGATCATGACGACCATGAAGACCATGACGACCATGACGACAACCCCGTAGCTTACGTTTTTTAAAATATATTTTATCCAGCACCCGCAAACTGATGCGACGAGCCAGATAAGCGTCCCGCGTTGAGGTTGTAACGTTTCCATGATGATCGTCGGCAGGCAGGCCCCCAACGTTGCTACGTTGAGCTAGCCTTGACAAAAAGAAAAAAAAAAAAAAAAAAAAAAAAAAAAAAAAAAAACCCCCCGAAAAAACGAAAAAAAACCGAAATAAGTCGAAACGGTGACTGATCGAGTATTAGCGCCTGGACCAAAACGTGACTCGTCCGTCAATAAAGGAATTGTGCGTTTTCAAATGTTACGCGTATGAGGTCAGTGTCACCGTTCATCGTCGATTGTGCGCTCGCGTTGCTGATTTTTGCTTTAAATTTTTAACGTTCTTGCAAAACTTTGGAAGTAAAAGAGCGAAGTGCTTGTTGCAGTATTTTTATATTCTGGCGTGAAATAAAGTGCAGAGCGATACAAAATGTGAAATGCGAGCCAGTGCATGTACAGGAACCACTGACAGATGCAGCGCGACAATTTTTCTTGGCGATTTATAAAGAGAGAAAGAATCAAAGAGTGCGAATAAAGCGGGTACAATTTTATTAAGACTGTGATGACAACAAAAATTAAACAAAGAAATACAAATGATACGCTGTTCTACCGTGGTGCTGAAATTGACGCTGTACTTACTTAATACGTAGTACGACGAGAACGACTCATTTTATGGAGTAATGACGCGCACCCCTTTCTCCTCGTTTACAAAGAAAAAGTGTTTTAGGGTGTTGGCGTGCTACTGTATGTATGTCCGAAATGAAAAGAAAAAAAAAAGAAGCGGAAATAAACTGAATCCATGAGCATAAAAAGTCATTAAGATTAATTTGGCATGAATTAAATAAAAGAATACCACATTTTGCAAAAATCCTTTCATTATTTGTATTTTTATCATATATTTTTCAGTCGGGTTCCTCGATCCTTCATCGAGTCGACCATTTTACATGTCATGTTATACAATTTGTAATAATGATATAGAAATATCATATCATCGTTAAATAATGCCTAATCTATTATAATTATATCGTATTATCACAATATCATATTTTTTTAATGGAATACGATTTAAAGTGTGCTAACAATCAAGATATAAAAACCTCGATTTTCGGCACTTTTGTCTTGTCTGGAATTACAAGAAATATATATATATATATATATATATATATATATATATATATATATATGTATATATATATGTGTGTGTGTATGTATGTATGTATGTATATATTTCTAAATAATATAAATTATGACAGTGAAATGCTGCTCTTCCATGAAGACAGACAATAAATTAACGCAAATTATTTTGTAAAATCGATGAAAAAATCTACGTTACCAATATATAAAATAATTTATAACACTTTCGTTTACAAAATTTTAGACAATCATGATGTTTATAATGTTTTTACCAACAAAATTGTATTTTCTAATGTACAAATAGTCAACTTTAAAAGTGTATGTAGTCTCTACTTTAAACAATTATCGTTTACTTTATCATGTTGCAAGAAAAAAATTTTGATAACTGACTTTTTCATCGTTTAAAATTCAAAAGCAGTCCACTGATGGATACTTATTTTAAGAAAAAAACTATTTAGAATCACGCGTAACTTTATTATTTCTTACGCTAAATTCTTTAACGTTTTCATTGTTTTATATTTACAATTTGCATCCTTTACGTAAGAAAGCGTCGATTCTTTTTTAAACATACAACACACATTCATCAGTATAAATGAAACGAGGTCGTGATTTCATAATTATCATAAAATCGTTACTATCTTTCGCTCTTTACAAATGTACATTCCTATATATTTTTTCTTTTTATTTATTTATTTTATTTTATTTTATTTTTTTTTATTATTATTTTTTTTTAACAGAAAGAACAGTTTTATCGAGTTATAAATGTATACAGTAAACTTATAATTATACACAGTTATAATGTACAATATCGTTCCTTCAGAAAAATTCACAGCCGTATGGAACCAAGTGAGGCTCGTTTTATAGATTTTAAGAAAAAGATTGAAAGAATGAGAGAGTGGGTGTGAGCGAGATAGAGGTACAAAGAGATAGAGAGAGAGAGAGAGAGAGGGAAACTAGATAAGAAAATCGTAGTTTGATGAATTTGGAAGCAAACAAAATGAAACAGTCTACCTGTACAAAAAAGATTAAAACTACTCTCAAAATGACAGGAAAGCAATCCATGAATTTGTTCTTATAAAATTTGCAGAACCTCAACTTATATCCATAAATGCCACTGCTCTATTAAATTTTATTTCACCCATCATAACATTATTTTCTTTCCTTATTATTAGCTTTACATATAAACTAGAAGTCAATAATTTAAAAATTCTGTACAATTTCAAATTTTCTAAAATTATGTCTTTACTGTTAATATCTTATCTACATTGACTTTTTAAACAAGCCACTATAGTTTTTTTTTTTGTTTTTTTTTTGCTGCTTAATTACAATAGAGTGGGTAAATTTTTAAAACGTAATAATTATAATATTTTTAGATTATAAATGAAAAATTGCTCTACAGCTCTTTGAAAAGACATAATTGACTAGAAACTGAAGAGCTTTTTCAAATTTTACTAATGAGAAAATCTTTTAATACGATTATCAATAATAAAATTTTTTCTACAATAATTCTGTACTTTCGTTGATTAAAATTTCATTTCGTAAAAAATTGAAAAAGATTTGGAAATTTAATAAAAATTTTTTGGCCAAAAGTCTGCAATACGACAGTTGATATTAATTATAATTTTTTTCCTATTTTTCATAATCCTTTAGAATTTGGTCATTATTGAAATTGAACAAAAAAAAATATATAATACCGCAGTTCTAAACCGCTTGTTGTTGGAAAAAGAAAAATCATTGTATAAGGAGAGTAAATGCCGCATTGTCGTCAATTTTTATAACGAAAAATTAATTTTTAACGCTTGGTAGGGTCAATTGATTAACAGAAATGAAAATAAGTCTCGCTTACTAGTAGCAAAGCTATGTGTTTAAAAAAGAAGAAAAAAAAGAGAGAAAAAGCTCTGATAGTATTACCACGAAGAATGAGCAATAAATTGTGGATAAAAAAAGTATTTTAATTAATAAACGATGAAATTATTATATAGTTCTTATAAATGTACATTAAAACAATCAATTATGCCCAATTGTCATTAACTTGGCGTAATTTTGAGAATTCAGTGGAAAAAAAATAACAATAATAATAAAATTGAAAAAATCCACAATGTGCGCAACGCAACGTGATGGAGAAATAAGAAATGAAGGAAACGCGCGAGAAATCGTCGTAGACGAGAGACGTTATCGAGAAATTTGCTTCGTGTCGAACGAACATCTAGGAAGATGCGAATTGAACGAGAATGAAAATCGGTGTAGGAAAATAAATCAGGCTAGCAAGTTAGGTCTTTGGCCCTTGCTGAGCGGGTGTGTGCGAGAGAAAGAGAGAGAGAGAGAGAGAGAGAGAGAGAGAGAGAGAGTGAGAGAGTGAGGGATGGCAGAAGTATCGGCAGGGAGACTCGCAGTGACTCAGACGAGGGGCAGCTTGGGTGGGCCAAGGAGAGGCGGCGCATTCTCCGGCATCCTTAGGCCATTGAGTTTGTCGCCCTGCGACGGGACCGGCTGCAGGAGCCTTATAGCGAGACTCGCCAGGATGAGGAGAACGACGAAACCGCAGATCGGAACGGCGATCGTCGCCGTCTTGAACCAGCCATCAGACGTCTGAACCTCTTGGCCGGAGGGCTGCATCGAGCCGAAGTATGCCCTCTGCTCGCCGAGTAAAACTGAAAGCAAGAGAAAAATTATTTAAAATTGAGATTGTTAGGAAGCCACCACCACGAAGCTAAGAATTACGTTTCTTGGAAGACAAGCTGTAGGATATTCGTATGGGCTTGCCTTTACGAGGTGATAAGGTTGATACGAAATGGTCGTATTCGCAAAAAATATATCCTGAAATACTCTTTTACTTTCGCGTAAAGGCTTGTAATATTTCATATATAATTATTGTAGTGTAAAATCTGTTAAGTTACATGGCTGTAAGGGTACGATCTCGAAGACTTTAAGTAATTGTTAATATGTTGGAATTGTAATATTGTAGAAATGTTGAACCTTCAAAAGTGTTTTACGACATACGTTTTATAATAATAAATATAATAAACTGCATGAGATTTTTTTTTTTTTTTTATAATATTTGATTTAAAGCTTGAAAATCATTAGTGAAATAATTTGTTGAATTTCACATTAAAGATAACGATAAACACATTCTGATAATATGTACTGTGCTCGTTAAGTATCTTAAATTCTTGTAATTTATTGTATTATAGTTAATAAAAAATTACTATTTCTATAAAAATAGACTTATTATTGTCGAACGGGGACTTAGAAAGAGCTCCGGAAAAGTCGATTTTTCTAATTTAATAAGTAGCCATTATTATCGTCGCTTATAATAAATCTATGCGCTTAATGCATTAAACGGTAATACATAAGTTATTCATTAGTTAATCTGCATGAAGTGTCGAGGAGAAGTTTGGCTTATCCTTAACCAACATCGAGCCCAATCAAAGTAAAAGGCCTCCCTTCCGTCGCAAACCCAACATTCACCTATGAATTTACATATTTTAGATTTCATTAAAGTATACACGTATATACCACACGAAGGGCAAAGTGATAATTTTACGCCGCAACACTTACCACAACAGCATTTATATAAGCACTACTTTAAAGACTCGAAGACTGGAATAAAAAGTAACGACGCGGTGGTATATAAGGAGCGACGTGAAGTGAAAAGGCAAAACACTCGGATAAAATGAGAGCAATGAAAATTTATCGCGAAACGAGGAGTTAACTTAACTTTAACTGGTCGAATCAATTGCACTACCGAGCGTTTCTATTTCTAATCAATGCAGGGATTTTCATTTACACGCTTACGTTTGCATTAAATAACAGTCATAATCGTACCATCATCATTATCGAGATCAATCGAAATGCATTTTTTTTTTGCACAGATAAATTTAAATTGATTGGTTACTTTATTAAGCAGAGGGTGGCGATTCTTTATTTTATCATTCAATTGAATTAGAATATTTATTGTTTATCCCTGGGTAAATGCAGGCGAATTAAATAATTTCAAGGTTAACAATTAATAGCTTCGGATTTCTCGGAACTTACGATCGAGTAAACGAACCAGGGTAATATTTCCACGGTATGGAAAGCAGCGATGTTCCTTTAATTAGTAGCCGATTCGTCTTTAAGACTCTATATATATATATATATATATATATATATATACACGCGCGCGCGCACGTATATACATACACACATACATACATACATACATACATACATACATACATACATACATACATACATACATACATATGTGTGTATAACATTGGTAATGGATAAAATGGAAGGCACGCGAGATAAGAAATGTAGAGAACATGCGGAGATAAGCATCGAAAAGTACATCAGGTCCAGTGCACATATGCCTATAAATTAGTTCCAGTATTGCACGCATGAATGTAGCCAGAATAAAGGAGACTATTTACTGAAAAATGCGCATATTACTTAACATGGTAATGATAATGATAATAGTTGGCCATGCGAACTTCGATTTTATCGAGGGTGTATGCTCGCATTTGAACTTTCAGCGCCTCCCATTGGAATCCCCGCGCGTTTAACGAGTAAAAAACGAAGTAACGAGTACGGTGGCGCTTACCTTGTAGAGTCTTGTTAAGTCGGCTCCTCATCGCCGGGCTGTCCACGTGATTGCAGAGGTCCTGGCCGCAGCAGAGCTTCCCCTGGGGGCAGGGTCGCTCGGCGAAGCTCTCCTCGAGGCAGCCGCTGTAGGCCGCGTGCTCAGGTCTACTCGCAGCGACGAGCTGCTGCTGGCGCGTGCTCCCGAATACGGGTAGCGGGAGTTCCGTGAAACAACCCCGGCCCCGGCACATGTAGCCCTGGGAGACGCAGTGCGGCTGATTGCAGTAGCAGCGCACCTCGCCACCGGCTCTATGACCTCTGCCTCCTATAGAAGACAAAAGAACAACGAGGGGATTAGCCATTGTTTCTACGGTATATTATTATTATAATCAGACGTTGATTTTTCAGACGACAAAGCCGTTGGCTTTTTAAGCCTCTATCTATTTAAAGGTCATTTTAGTAGACAAGTAAACTGCTCGTTAGGAACTTCGGGCTGATCAGCGAACGATCAGCTTTTACAAAATAAGATAGTTTGTTAATTTTCTAAAAATTCCTCGTTTATGCAACTAATTTCAAGCTTAATAAGCAATTTTATGGTAAATTTACTTGCATCAGTATAAGTATTTTAAAATACGCGCACTGGTGTAGGATTGATGAGATAAAGTTGTCGTGTTATTATTCACGCTATTATCGGCTATCTTCCCATATGATGCGATAAATTCCTGGTACAACTCAACTATCGTGAAGTACTGGCATCCCAAAGTCTTTGACGGAATGTTTGATTCTTTACAAAGTAGACCGCATATTCAGTATATATATATATATATATATATATATATATATAAATATATTTGTTTATTATTCAAAAACAGTGTTTTTATCATGCAATAACAGTTCGTCCATATCTCATGAACATTATCATCTACTTTTTAAACAAACAAGTTATGGAATTCGTAATGAAGTATCTAAAATTTATGTTATAAATTTTATTTATTACTCTGATGAAAATTTTCTGTCGTATATTTATCAATAAATAAATATATATATATATATATATATATATATATATATATATATGAAAAATTCGAATAAGTCAATGAGATTTCACACTTTCTGTATTTTCAAAATAAAACAATCAACTGTCAATGTGTAGAAATATTAATTTCTGTCCGTATCAATGGTGTAATTTTATATCGATTATCTCTTGAAAATGTAACTATAATTTCAAAACAAAGAAAGTGCGAATTTCATAGCAGACAATTATGTTACCATATCGAATATTTCAACTTGTTCTTTTAAAAGTTAAGCATTTTCAATCAATGTTAACAGTTACGGCAACTCGCGCTCAATCATTAAAATGATAAATCAGAAAAGAATGTCAAAGAAATATATTGTAGAAAATCATTATGGAAATGACAATTTCTCTAATGATATTGGACATTTAATTAAATAATTTTTATATTATTATCGCGTAAAAAATACAGAAGTATTAATTAATTCCAATATAAAGTGACGAATTAAAAGTAATTTACTTAATCGACTTTGTAAATTAAAAATCATAATAAATTATACTTATGCAAATTAATAGTAAAAACCATAATTTACAACTTACTTGCTTAAAATCTGAAATTCATGAGAATTATTATTAACATTCAAGTGTTGCATTAATTCTCAGAATACGACTAAAAAAAAAAAAAAAAAAAAAAAAAGACACAAATAGTTAATCGGTATAATCTATAATAACTATCATAAATATCTAATATAATAAATATAATTTTTAATACCTGTTTTAATTATTATATATTCGTACAGATGATAAAGAGATAGGTTAATATTTTTTAATTCGCTAATGAGATACTACGAATAAGATAATCGATAATACTTTTTCTTCTACAATCTTAACTGCGCGGATAATATTACAGGTTATATTTGTAAATATAAAAAAATAAATAAATAAATAAATAAATAAATAAATTAAATTTATTACAGTAAGGTGTATTTTTCTTAACGTAACGTGCATGACTATAAGCTTGTTTTCTCACATGCAGGATCGTACAAAATTTTAAATGATTTTATTACGTGAATGAAGAAAAAATAGTGACATGCTCAAATGCTCTTTGCTTCAAACGTTTAATATTAAATTCCGTCTAAAAATATAGCGCAGACGAGAAATATAGACACGTAAATTGTATATATGCCCGCAAGCGCGCGCGCGCGCGCGCGCACCCGCTATTTCAACGCGCAAAAGCAGCTTAGTCGCGGGTGGTCTCCGATGTCTTAGCTATACACATCTCGTTATCTCGATAAATAAAGGACATATCGCGCGACAGCGAAATAACGATTCTGTCTCGATAAGTATTTATCCCCCTGGTGCCGCTCACGCATCATCGGATTTTCAATCTCATCGTGAAGACACAGAGCTTTGCTTTTTCTTTCAGTATATAGATAAGGATGAGAATGCAAGTCCTATATACATTGAGAGGAGTCATAGAGGAATTATAGATATGTTGTTCCGTAATTAGTCGATGTATTTTTATTTAATTATTCATTCGGATTATTGGTGCATGAATAATCTGCGGATAATGTATGATATTATGATTCGCATGAAATTTCATTCATTCATTATTTGAGTGAAAAATAGGCTTGCACATTTATCGCTAATACTTACGTAGATGTTATTTGGATAAAATAATATTGATGTAATGAAGATATAGAATACCAAAGCACGAAGAAAATACTTATAGAGCGAGAAAGAGTTTTTATCTCGATGCTATGTGAATATTTGTTAACAAGACGAAATAAATAGGCCGTTGATAGTTGAAATATGTGAAATTCAGTGATTGGTTAGATTGACTTGCGGCTCTTTGGAAGTTGGTTATCTCAAAACTGACGGACTGATCAACCAATCACAATTATACTTTTAATCATAGTCTATAATCATACGGACCGTAATACGCTCATTGAGAACTAAATGCTTAAATGAAATGGAATTTTTCTCGATTAATTGATTTATTGTTGCGTTTCTATTTCTATTTGCGTTATTATTTGATTCAATAATTATGTATTCATAAGCATATACGGTTTGTCAGACAAAACACTCGATGATTGTTATATTCAATTTACGGATTAAAATAAAGGAATAATTACCATGAGTACTATGAGTTTATGGCAAAATGCACATTAAATTACGAACTGAAAAATAAAAATAAATATTATTATGGATATGGATGTAATGTTAAGCAAGCGTTACATTTTTACACTGTAGGCATTAAATTATTTTAGCAAAGATTGCAATAATTGTTACAGTAATCCATGTCATACAGCGCATACTCTTAATGTTTTGACTGACTGAAGAACCTATAAAGTACAACCTATCAGTGGCTGTATGTCTTATAATGAAACTCTTCAGCCGCTAAAAATATTGGACTGAAAACCTTATAATCGTTAAAATAATCAAATTAACGGCCCTGATTTATACTCCATCTCTGTTTATTGTACATAAAATTACGTAAAATGTAAATATTGCTTAAATATTATTGGGCATCGCGTAAAGCGTTTACCGCGCAATATTTAACATGCAGCATTACGAGAAATTCGGTGCGCAATAGTTTAAAATATGAGAAAGAGATTTTTTTTCACGCGTTTTTTTTTTTTATGCGGGAGTTTACGTCCATAGCCTTTAAAAGAATTACACGAACAATTTTAACATTGTGCTTGCGATAATTCGACATAACATTAAAATTCTGTCTACGCCGTAAGAAGATACGCACACTCACGTTCGTACGGGCAGTAGGAGCGCGTATGAGTGAAAAACGAGCAAAAAATTATTCACTGCAATGCAGATATATAACAAAACGTTCACGATATAATAATAATGACGGGCGAATCGAACTTGTGGCCGATCATCTCCCTCGTTGCCTTAATGAGTAGCCGGTCGCTGAGGTCGTAAAAGATAATACCAGAGTTCCATCATACAGATTCAGCCTCGTTTCGTATATCCAACAGTGCATGGAAAATCTTTAACGTATCGGGCTATTCGTAAGATCACCATTAGTCGATTCATAACTCGCACGCACATATTGCCAATTGCCAACGGCATCTCGCCGCGTGTGGCAGCAATTGGCTTTCGCTTTTTTGCTTTTTTTGTTTTTTTTTTTGTTTTTTGTTTTTTTGTTTGTTTTGTTTGTTTTTTTTATAATTGGATGCCTTCAATCGTCTAATGCTCCAGAGATTAAAGTTTTCAAAAGGTGCACCAAAAATTTTATCGGGTGACGATTGATTTATCAACTAAAGGATTTCTAACTCTATTTTTCGTATAAAAATCTCGAAAGACTGTACTAATAACATACGGCATTGAGCATATAACACTATGCAATTACATAAGAGCGTGTAAACGTTGTGTATATCCAGTTTAATTTGAATTTATTTCAGTATGAGCGATCTAACCAAAGGCCGTACTTTGCTGTCGTTATGCTATTTTATTATTCTTTATTTTGGTATTTATTTATCGACACGTGCACATTTATAATTTCCGTGCACGGTGTGCTACACATTGCTTTTTTTCTTTCTTTTTTTTTCCCCCGACCTGTATCATCCGCATCGACGATCACAAGTTGTAAAATTTAACGTAAGCGTAAGCCTTAGGCCACTTTGAATAAGATAGTCTTGATAATTGAAATATTCTATTACGAAAAGATTACGCATGATAATCAACCTGATATCATGTTATCATATTGCTGTGAAAGAATACCGAAGCCTTAACAATATTTGACTATTAAAAGTTGTTAATTAATAAAAGAATGATGAGATGGAGATACACTGTAAAATAAATATAACAATAGAAATATGTTCGATTAATCAATGGATCGATTAATCATCGGTTGGTCACTAGTGCAAAACTTACGAAAGAAATTTTCAATTTAATTAACTCGAATATTCCGTTGAATAATTGCATTAACAATATTAATAGAGCATTTGATACGATTATTATGAATTACGTCACATTATTCAATTCATTATGAATAATTAATTAATTAATTAATTAATTAATGAAAAATAAATAATTGATATGGAACATTGAGCCTAAATTAGCATTAGCATTATAGACATGTTACAGTGTGAGAGACGACGGCACTTTATTAGATTCGTTCTTCATTCGACTACGATTTTGAATATTCTGTTGTTTAATTATAATTCGTGTTTGTCACAATTGAGCGTCAGAAAAAATAAGCCAGCAATTGAACACGATTTAATAAATAATTTCCATAAAGCCAGGAAAGAAAAGAGCAGAAGATTAATTCTCCAAATCGTGACCGTCGCATCGTT